CGCATATAGGTGTGTGTGTGTGTGTGTGTGTGTGTGTGTGTGTGTGTGTGTGTGTGTGTGTGTGTGTGTGTGTGTGTGTTTGTGTGTGTGTGTGTGAGTGTGTGAGTGTGTGATGAATGGAATTCCGCATCGGTGTGCAATTGTAAAACAAGGCTGTGTGTAGAAAAAAAAAAATCTGAAACTGCATTTAGGAGTGGCTCAATACTGGCTGGCCATATTCGGGCCGGAGTTGGAAATACATTTCTGGCCCAAATACTTCACGCCACAACCGGCCCTCATCTGGTTTGCCAGAGTCAAGCCAGTGCCTCCTTTGCCACGCCTGGGCCGTGTTCGGCCCACATGCGTTATGCCAGTGCCGACACAAGGCCAGCTGTGCCGGCTTCATGCCGAATCCGGGCCAGATGCCTTTGTTGACTGGGTTATTAATTTCACCTGATTTACCAAGGCCCAATTGTCTAACTCTAGGGATTTGCAAAGTTCAGAATTTATCTGCACTGAAAATGAATGTCATTTATGCTATCCTATGTGCCTTGACAGCTTGACTGCAGAAGTGACGAGTGACCAAGTTATACAAATCATTGTCAGAGCCATGCGTCCTTCCACATTTTCAGTTGTCACCTGCCAAAAAATGTTGGATAACTGTGAGGCTTATGATTTTTTTTTTATGTCTTTCTTTCCACTGGTTTAGGTGGAGTTCATTGTGACGGACAATGCGTCCAACATGAAACGCGCATTCTCCTTGGAATTTCCGGAGATAGACCCGTCTGGAGCCGAAGGGGAGGAAGGGGCTGGTGTAGATGATGGCGACCTCTGGGAGGACCAGGATGAAGAGGATGCGGGGGCTGTGAGACAGGCATTGATCTTGGCCTCTAAACACAGGATCCCATGCTTTGCCCATACACGCCAGTTAGTCATCGGAGACGGTCTCAAAGAACTGCGGGCAGTTGGGCAGCCCATTGCGAAGGTGTCAAAGCTGACAACAGTACTGCACAGGAGTGCAGTACTCAAAGAAAGGTATTAATACTACTGTAATTATACAGCCCAGTAACCCTAACTTACCCAGGCTATTTTGAGAGGTGATATTCCTTGGGGGGGGATTATGGCACCCCCCTCCTGGTCACAGTAAAACCTAATAGGTTATTTTTGGGGGGATATTTATTTTCATTGAGGCTAAAGGCTAAAGCTACATGTAATTGGGAGAGGCCCTGGGGAGCAGAGTTGTAGAAAATTTGAATGAAAAGTGAAGTGTACATTGTACCTGAAACTCAATGGTGCAAGTGTCTAGAACATATTGTCATATTAAATACAGTATGTACGCAATAATACATTATTTTTTTAATCTTTAAAATTTTAAGGTTTCAGGAGCGTTTTGGTGTGGAACAATACCAGCTGCGAACTCCACACGCTGGAGCTTTGTCTTTCTTCAACTCAGAGCTTGACAGAACCTACAAGGAGTTGATTGTCGAGCGATTGCTGAAATCTGCTAGGCGGTGGAGTTCAACAACCTTATTTTCACACGCCAAGAGTGGGCTCAACTTGCTGAATTGACGACAATTCTGGAGCCTTTTGCTGATGCAACAACACTCACACAAGGTATGTTAAGGCTCCACCTAGACAAATTTTTGGTGATGGCCCATTTGGACCACCAAAATCATTCATTCTTTTTTGTTGGCCCAAGCATGGAATGAGGTGGCCCAAAACATAATAAATATATTCATAAATAAACTAGTACATTCTTGGACAAATTTTTGACGGCCCAATAATGGCTGCCAAAATCTATTTTTTAATCTGGTTGTTCAAAGCTCAACTCCAGTGGTCCCGGACTCCCATGTCACAGTGAGAGGGCTACTGCTATTGTTGAGCCCCTAGGTACAGTATGCTATATGAAGTAATAAATCTAATATTTAATGACACTTTGATCACCTTTAAATTTGGAAATAAATTATATTTTTAGTGTAGGAACTCTCATTTATCTTTTGCACTAGGGTATTCTACTCATTATTACAAAGATATATGAACTTAATCTTAAGTATCATAGTGAATATTGTTATATACTTTAGGGCTACACGCTAAGCATTTTTTCCTTGCTGGTCAAAACAAGTCGTTAATCACTTGTTGGGCCAGTAACCAATTTTGTTAGCCACATTTGAAAACTCTTGGGTCCTGCAGCTAATTATACTCATCCAGGACTATCGGACCACTGCTAGTGTGGAGCCCTGTATATTACAGTATCCAAGCAAATTATTCCCCTTTTTTTTTTGGGGGGGGGTGGTTTAAGAAGAAATTGAATAAATTTCCTAAAGTTGTGCTTGTTCTTAATTTCGCATTTCTATAAATGTGTTCAATTGACAGGTGATCAGACAGCAACCATTCCAATGGTGGTGCCAGTCGTCCTAGACCTGAACAGTCATGTTTGCAAGTGGGCAGATGAAGCCAAGTTTTGTCGGCGGATTGTCGGGTGTCTTCAGTCTTCCTTGAAACGGCGATTCAGGGGGATTTTCATCCGATGTCAGATGGTTGAGGGGAGCGGGCCTGCTGAGGATGAGCCCTTCTTTGAGAAGCTTTTCTTCATGGCCCCTGTCATCGATCCACAGTCCATGCTGGAGTGGGTGGATGATGTCAGTATGCCAACGTGGTCTCTCGATGAAACGAAGGAAAAGAGGAGAAGTGTAAAGGAAACCCTGAAAGGTACAATTCAAAATGTTCAGAGCAATTCCATGAGAATCGCTCAGAGTATGTAACATGAATAACATAAGATTATCTGCTGAAATATTCTTTTAGAAGAATTTGGTTCAAAAATGTATTTACTGTACTGCTTTTATTTGTTTGATGCAAAACTAATGATAATCTTTAACAATTTTAGGATGAGTACTTAACATTACTCACGTCACATACTCTAAAAAATTCTCAAGGAATTACCCTTCAATTATTTTGTTAATTAGGCTTCAGGCTGTAATTGCATATTCAGCAAGACTAAATAAATGTCCATGGTTGCAAGAAAATGAATTATATTGAAAATTCTTCTGTTTGTATTTGTGTGTGCTTACAATCGATGCTATTACTAATTACCGTATTTTCCGCAGTAAAAGACGCACTGGATTATGAGGCGCACCTTCAATGAATGGCTATTTTGTAATTTTTTTTCATATATCAGACGCTTCGCACGAAAAGGCGCAATCTACAATGGTGGTGGTGGTACGCTCCTTCCATTCAACTCGAGAGGCGTCCGAACGCCTCTGAAAAATGTATATTAACTATTACTGTACTTAAATGAAACTACGAAAATTGAAAATAATGCATCAAAACAGAAAATCAAGCGAGGAAATCACAAAATAAATTCTATAGCCCCCCTACAGAATTTATTTTGTGATTTCCTCGCTTGATTTTCTTCGTGGTTTTATAGCCCCCCTACAGAATTTATTTTGTGATATCCTCGCTTGATTTTCTTCGTGGTTTCATTGAAGTACGAATTAATTTACGTTTTTCGGAGGCGGCCTTGAATGCCTCTCGAGTGGAACGGAAGAAAGCACGGACACGGACAAAGACGTACAGGACCTGTACTTGCTGAGACTGTGAAAACCATTAATAAAGTCTGTGTTTAAAAAAATAATAAAACCACAACCACAGCTCTCATTTTTTCAACAAACTCAGGTGTGTCTTTGTCCGTCTCCTTCCCTTCTTTTCTTCCGGTCAACTCGAGAGGCGTTTATGACCGCCTCCGAAAAACCCAATGGCATTTACTTTATCATAGCTCCAAGAGTACAATCAGATAAGGTAAAATAAGAAAACCTTTAATAGTCTCACAATGGAGAAATTCCCACTTCACAGCAGCAAATTTATGAAAGGAAGAAGTAGAAGAACAAAATAAATAGGAGCTGCTGGAAAGGCAGCCACTCTCGCGGCACCATCTTGAAGTCAAAATAACACAACAAGATGTCAGTCGTAGTTATTTATTCCTTTGTTGTGTATTCACAAATGATGTAATCACAGTATAAATTGTGTAGGGGGGGGGATTTAGAATTTATTTTGTGATATCCTCGCTTGCTTTTCAGTTTTGATGTATTTTTTTCAATTTTTGGAGTTTCATTGAAGTAATCGTTAGTTTGGGGTTTTCGGAGGCGGTTTTGAACGCCTCTCAAGTCGAACAAGGCACGGAGACAGACAAAGACGTACCTGTATTTGTTGAGACTGTTTTAAAAAATGTACACCACAGCTCTCCTTTTTTCGGAGCTGCAACACATACTTATTTAATAAAGCAGCGACGCAGTTCACTGAACCAACAGCAAGTTATAACATTGGAAGCATGTCTCCAGGAAGGAGCCATCTTGGAGTCGATTTATTACCGTAATTACCATACAAAAGACGCACCGGATTTTAAGGCGCTCGGTGAGCTTTTAAGAAAATGGAAGACTTTTTGGTGCCTCCTATAGTGCGGAACATACGGTACTTTACTCTTGATTTTGCACATATCACTAACTATTACCAGGACCTTTAAATGTCAGTAATACTTCATTCTTTACAAGTAATCATTTAATTATTTATTATTAATAATTTTTCAAAAACAATGTGTATCCAAGCTGCTTCACCTAATTAGGATGAAGAACCATGGTATTCCTTTATATTCTTTGGTGGACATGATGGAAGTAAAATGTTCTGATTGCTGTATCCATTGTCTCTTATTTTTATTTTCTAGTCCCATAGAACATAATTTATTAGAATTATTATTGAAAAGAAATCAGAGCAATTTTTATAACTTCTTTCTTTTGTTGTGTAGAGCTGGTTGTGTATGAAACTTGGGAAAGACCAGCCACCGGTACAGGAAGGGCAGCACGGAGGGAGCACTAGCGAGGACGAAGTACCGGCAAAGATGTCTAAGTTCACGGCCAAATACAAGCAGAAGAGAAAGCGAGCAAAAAGTGATGGCAAAGAGAGTCCGCGTGCCCAGTTAGCATCTGGAGAACGAGGTGGCGGGCGAGGAGCCGGTGGCATTTTGGAGACCTGGCGGGATGGCCAGTGTGAAGTATCCTGCTTTGTTGTTGCTGGCGCAGCATATCCTACCGGTACCTGCGAGCAGTGCCCCTGTTGAGAGAGTTTTCAGCAGGGGGGGCATTATCATGCGGCCACACAGGGCACGGTTGTCAGCAGAAATGCTGGAAGTGTTGATGTTTTTGAAATGTAATGAAAATGTGTTGGTGCTGTAGTAGTATTAGGAGTAGTATCAGTAGTAGTATTAGTAGTAGTAGTATTAGTAGCAGTTGTATTAGTAGTTGTGTAATGTGTACAATAAAAGGCTGGAAAACTGACTCTGTGCTCATTGCCGTTAATTGTCAGTCGCAACACTTTTATATCCACGCTTTCTGGCAACTCAACACTTTACGGCCGTCACGGCTGTAACGTCATGCGGTCGTAACATTACCCTGTGGCTGTAGTTACATGCCACAGTAGTAGTATTAGTGGTAGTGCTAATAATAGTAGTACTCAGAGAATGTTTAGAGATTACCGCTTTTTCTGCAGTCAGTGATTGACTTCTATGCAAAGTCATTTCTCAACTTGTCTTTCGTGCCATGTCATGCCTGTTGAGTGTTGATTTACTTCATATTAAGAAACTACTGCACTAAAACATTAATTCATAAATGTATATCATGTGCTTTTATTTTATTTTTCTCAGTATAAATAACACGTACCCTGACTGTTCTACTCTTTGAATAAAAACACTTCATTCAAGCGTTAGGGAGTGACGTGTGCTAGGGGTTAGGGTGGAGGGGTGTTGCAAATCATGAAGACCTGTCAAGTGGTATGATAGCATTGTTTTATACATGTCCTCGGCTAGGCCTCGGCTTCAAAATCAGTCCTTGGTCCTTGGCCTTGGCCTCGGAGGCAAGTCCTTGGTCCTTGGCCTTGGCCTCGGAAAATTCCTCAAGTCCTTGGCCTTGCCTCGGAACATTTTCCAAGTCCTTGGCCTTGTCCTTGGCCTCGGAGTCAAGCCCTTGGCATTGGCTTTGGCCTCGGAACATTTTCCAAGTCCTTGGCCTTGGCCTTGGCCTTGGCCTCGGAGTCAAGTCCTTGGCCTTGGCCTCGGGTTGCCGGTCCTCGGACACAACACTGTCTGGTTGGATACCTGGAGTGCTCTAGTGTCCTTCAGGTCTGGTTTGATTGAGGGATAACTGAAATTCATTTTTAAGAATCTTTTGAAATAAGGAGAGGATGTCAAAATGTCATATTTGAGAGGCATTTTAATTGGTAATGGATACCTGGGGTGCTCGAGTGTGTCGACAACCTTGTGTGGTTGCGCAATCACCCAGATTGATTTTTTTTTTTAATGATTTTTTTTTTAATATCAGGTGAAATTGATAGAAATTACCATTGACTTTATTTTCTATCTCCACTTGAGAACGATTTTTTGTGCTGTTCTGAGAGTTCTTGTTCTTCCGAGGTGAACGTATTGTTAGCTGACAGCCAAAAAATTTTATTTTTTTATTCATTTCTTTTAACCCAAACAAATGACGTTTATGCATTAGTGGAGGTGCTTTTATTTTGAAGGTGGTCAACGCCACTCGCTGGCGGCAGATTACCGTAAGGCACAGTATTGACAATCGCAGTGGCAGCTCACTTGACTTCAATTTTGCAGTGGAAGCTGGCTTGACCGCAGTCAAAATTTGGGGAGCAAAAACATGACAATCAGATGCGGACCATTTCAACAATTTTATCGGATTGTGCTCTACGTGTCAGTTTTACAGTAGACCACAGCTGGGAGTGACAAACAACTAAAAACTTTTTGCCTCACAAATGCACCAAGTTACCTCAACGAAATGAGGCCACATTACGTTCTTCGGTCTCCTGCATCACATGCACGGTCACATAACTGAAATGACTAAGTAGTGACGCAGCTGATTAAAAATACAACAATAAACCGTAAAATTTAAGTATTCAATTTCTACTCTTGCCGATGCTCGAGTCGATGCTCGTGTTGCCTTAGGGCAACTAAGGGTGTTGCCGTACAATCTTTGTTCGAATCCTGCAAATGTACTCCGTACGCTAAACTACAACACGGCTTTATTTGTGAAAAAAATAATCACAAAGAAGACGAACCAAAATGTTCTAGAATTATATCACTTTAGCATCGACGTAAGACGACCATCGTTTCTTTATTGGACTTTAACATCATTATCTCAACCTTCTGGGACTAGTTTACTTGGCCTTTCTTGCTAGCCGCTTCGTCGCGAAGCAGAGATCAAGTGTAAACATCGTGATTTTCTTGAAAAATCTGCGCAAGAAGAACAGCATAGAATGAGGTGCAATTTTGAAGAAGTCTCGATTTGGCTCATGCAGAGCAGGTTTGGTCATCACTAGTTCTTTCTCGATAGTCCACTCACTACTTTTCTTCTTGTCATTATTAACCATTTTACACAACAGAAAGCTATCTTTACTGTCAAGTGGCCAAGCCAGCTGCCACGATTTTTCATACTTTCATACTTGCACATGAGGTTTGGTCATTTGTATTAGTTCTTGTTTTTTTTTCCTACTCAAAATTGAACTGTTCTTGAATAAATAGTCCCCCACATATCAAGATGTGTCTTTCATCATATTTTATTGGATAGGATCCTAAATAAAATGGGCATTTTCCATTGTGTCAAGAAATGTATTATGGAGCCATATGTATTGTTGTTTGATACTATGTGTTGCGTGCTCGCCATTAAAGTTGTCTTTGCTCAAAAAGCCTGTTTCAGCCGAGTCTTCTTCCATATCGCCCATCACAATTGGTGTAAATGAAAATAAGGTAGGGTTGAATGTCCTCCATTTCATCAAAGAAAAAGTTTAAATCACAATTTTATTGTGATGTCACTCGTCACAGATGACCCCATGTAGACACAGACTGAATGGCAAAAAATAAGATCCAACACAATGAATAAAGATGTATCAGTATTTCTTAGTCATAATATGCGCTGATTGCCTCAAGAAATGCCGTTATCTCCCTGCATGAATTTATTTGTTCAAATGAATGAAATCCTTGAAAGACACGATGTTCCGGTATATCCAGAAATTAAGGAAATAATGAAGGGTTGCTTGAGGTCAAAATTTGTTTTGATGAGCCAGAACAATAACCAATTTGTTGGAATCAGCCATATTTGTTGTTTGCGTTAGGTTCGAACGCTTTGAAGTAAGAACTGGGACAATCTGAGTGGGATAAGTTCAACTTCGACAAATGCAGAATTGTACGTTGTGGTGTATTAACCACCATAGTTATTTGTATATGTTGTTTGGATGTATTCGCTTCCCGTACCTTGCATAGCCATCGACTGCGCATGCGTGATCTGTTGTATAATGAATGTCTATGCCTGTTCTCCACGAGGTTAATGGTGGAACTCGACGGTCGAATATAAACAATAGAATACGCGTGTGTGGCTCGTCATTCAAGACACAACATGCGTGAACGGACGAACAATACTGCTTACTCACCATTGGGAGGCATAAAGCCACCGGCGGCCATCTTACGTTGCCAATCGCTGGGTCCGCCTTACTTGAATACATTCATTTTTCCGCGAAATTTTCACGTTATTTTCTGTCTCTATGGCATACATTTCCTCCAATAATTTTACTCTTTTACACGAATGTCCGAGAGGTACAAACAAAGCTAACCTCCATGTCATTGCAGCCTAGGTTTTTATTTTTTTAACTTGGCCAAACTGCAAGATTGACTTTACGTATATCCCAAAAACTCAACAATTTCTCGAGGATTTTGTAAGATGTAAATTTTCTAGTGTTTCATTCACTCCCTCAAGTAATGTGTCAGGTTTACCAATTTGACACTTTAGGAATAAAACACAAAGAGGAGACAGGACACTCAATTCTGGTACCAGGAGGGAACGAGGAGAAGCGTTAGGTTTCAGTTCTCCTCACGTCACCCTAATGATCTCCCCCCTCACCCCTTCATTTATTGGGAAATCTACGACATGGGTGTGTCCAACGTAAAGGGTGGGGGCTGTTGAAGACACACTGAACTTGTTTGACTATGTGTGTGTATGTGAGTGTAAATTACGTACATGTGTGCAATTGTTACAAAAACATCACGTTGCAGCTGGTGTTGACAGCTCTGTCCACGTCCGACCTTGCTCCCGTTTAGTCTTAACTTATCTGTTTCTGTCAGAGATTTTCTCGGACAAGCTTAAAGAAACCCATAGATTCCTCTAACACTTTCCAACCACATTCTCAGAAAGGTGGCTGCGTCCCTCAACTGCCACACAGTGCACTAAGCATTCATGATTATAAATGTGAGTATATAATGATGAAAATCATCATATATTTATTAAAAGCATAAGTGTTCTTCATTGCATGCATGATCAATTAATGATTGCAGGCATAAGCGTTCTTCATTGCAAGCATAAGCAATTTACCATTAATAATTTGCAAATGTATGATAACTAAAAACAATCAACCTAATATCATGTAACTATGCTGCTCTGTTGTAATAAAGTAAAAGATAACGTCCATGTGTTTAAAACACACACACACATACACACACGCACACGTACACGACCCACTCAGGCCTTTCCGGAGGATCTGGTCTTACAGGATTGGTCCTGGGGTGCCGCTTAGTGGTCATACAAAGTTCTGTTTCGTGGCGTCAACTTCAATCATTTTTCTCTTGCCGTTGTTTTTAAATTAGCATGTTTTGGATTTTCTTTTTCTTGTTTGCAAATCTTTTGAGGTCTGTGAACGGCGAGATGATGTTGACGAACATCGCACTAATTTTGAGTCACAAAAAATTGGGGGATCAAAAAACATGACAATCAGACGAGGACCATTACAAAAATATGATCGGATATTTGCACTCCGTGTCAGTTTGACAGGAAACCACAGATGGGAGTGGCAAACAACCTAAAACCACTTTGCCTCACACGTGCACCAAAAAATTACGTCAATGAAGATGAGAATACGTAAAGTTAATGTGTTTCCTACATCGCACACAGTCAAATAACTGGAATGGGTTAGTTGTGACGCAGCCGATTTTAAAAATCACAATAAAACTTCAAAGTTAAAGACAAACGCAAAGTATTTGTTTTTAACGTTCTTGTCGTATTCTCTTGATGACGCGATGACGTGTTGCCAGCAATTTGTCCTAAGGAAATAGCCGTACATTCTTGTTCGAATGATGCAGCTCCGCTCCGCCTGCTAAACTACAACACGGCTTTAGTGAAAAAAAATCACAAAGAAAACCAACCAACTTTTTCTTTTAGAAGTACAGAACTTAAGCGTCGACGCAGGACGCCCATCATTACTTTATTGGACTATAACATCATTATTTCAAGTTTCTGGGCCTAGCTTAGCTGATTTAGCCTTGCTTGCTAGCCGCTTCGGGCGAAGCAGAGATCAAGCGTGAACGGAAACTGTGGTGGTTTTCTTGAAAAATGCGCCCAAGAAACACAGCAGAGAACGAGGAGCAACTTTGTGGGGCAAAAGAGGAGAGCGATGCTGTTTTCAAGAAGTCTCAATTTGCCTCACACAGAGCAGGTTTGGTCTCTTCTAGTTCTTACGCTATAAATCCACGAATTACTTTTCTTCAAGTCATTATTAACTATACAGCACAAAGCTGTATTTTCTGTCTATAGAGTGGCCAAGCCAACCGCCATGATTTTTTATCCTTGCACATGCTGCAACGGCCAGTTTCAAAATAAAAGCCTTCAAAGACATTGATGTCCATATTGTTCAGCGACGGGATTCGAACTGTGAATATTATTATATCGGTAAATTCTTTTCAGATTTGATTATTCCCGCGTCGGCCCTCCCGGTAACGGGCTTTCAGAAGGGTGAAAGGAGAAGCGACAACGCACGAGGCTTGGCGGCGCTCCCCTTCCTCCCCTCGGTTTCACGGACCGACCGCTGAGACTCGCCGAGGTTCTAACTGCCTTTAGATTTACGAAGCCAACCCGGTCTTCATCCGTTCCGTCTCTATCGTCGACGAGTAACCGCTGTCGGAGCCGGAGAACTACGAAACGAACGCTTCGTTTTTACGGCAGCTCACTCATCATTTTTTGCTGTTGCTATTGGTATCATACCTAGGTTAAAGTCTAATCACCGTTGTTACAGTCATACGGGTTTGTTGGCTTTGGGTTTTAGCATAACCTAAGCCGGAGTAAAACACATTTTTAGATTTATCGTTCTTTCACACCGATGGAATTCTATGAAGGCTCCGACAGAGCCTCCCGCCGTTCACACTTTCGAAGTAGGGTGTCATGGTAACCTCTTTTATATCATAAGAGAGGACAAGGGTTTATGTATATAATCAATAGTTTAATATTCATTTTCACATAATGCAAACCAGCCAGTCGCTGAGGATTCACAGCTGTAATTACGAACGTCATAACATTTACATTGATTATATTTTTCCCCGATCGGCTCAAGATAATAAAAATTTAAGAACGTATCCAAGGATAGGTTATAAAGAGGAAGGTGAGAGGTAATTGATAGATATATTGTAATAAGAGAGTAAAATACTAAAGCATTTAAAGTTGAATAATGAAGCAATAAAATCATCAAGCATTTGCGGTTCTAATAATTTGCTTTGTCTATCATCGGTATGCCTTTCACAGATTGATCAGGTCTTCGAAACGCTCCCGAGGTTCACCTTCCCTAATTTAGAAGTTACGATTTTTAAGTCTCAATCGGCGATTTTATCTTTATCAGTTAATTTATTTTGCAAATCGGAGTATAGTATTTGTCTTGTGGGTCATGCGTCCTTGCCACTATGTGACAGCTTCGTTTGAGCTCATTCTTGTCAGGGACCTTTACACAACTCCACAGATATACAGTAGATCTCCACTTTGCAGAAAAATTCACTGCATCGTGTAAAATCTCCGTAAGAATCCAATTCAGGGGGTCATCTTCGATTATCCAATTTGGGTAAAATTTAGAAAAGGGGAATTTCACCATAATAGCGAACTAAAGAATATCCAAAAGGGAAGAGAGTGAGATAGAGAAAGAAAAAGAGAGAAGAGCTCCGGAGGAGGCTCCCCCGGTGCCGGAGCGCAGGTGGCCAAGATGGGAAAGTCCCTCCAAGCTCGAGTGTCCTGTCTATTTCGCAATCTATCCCTTTTTATCAGCTCGGGGCCCTTGTGCTGGGGCCCTCCCTCTCCCAAAGTCTCGAATGTTCCTTTTTCCCTTAAGGCACATGATTGCTGAGTCACGGATGATCTCGTGGTTCAAGCAAGGTCAGGTGAGTACATTTTGAGCAGTCTTCTCCGGTTTGAGCCGGTTGAAGGGCCTCGTGTTCCAGGCAAGGTTGAGTAGGGACACGTGCAATCTTTACTGGTTTGAGCCAGCTGTCGTCCAAGCAGGTCACGCAGGGACATCTCCTGAGTGTGAGTTCAACTTCCCAATGATAGACAGTCTATTCATGCAATGTATTGCAGCTTGGATATCAAGTATATACATAAACATATTGCTTACACTTTTCTCCTGTAGACAATAGCTTTTGCACATTAACTTCTGTTGCACATCGTATGATATTACTGGAGAGAAGTACTAATCACAGGTTCCATTTTCATCACTCAAAGCGGTTTCAAAAGCATTGTAGCATTTACTTAATATCTCATTTATTCCTTTATCATGCTATCTCATTGTGAAAAAGAAAGATAGAAAGATAAAAAGAAAAGGAATATATTGTTTCCTTAAATCTCTTCCCGAGCTTGGTTAGCTCTTTCTAGTTCATTAATAAGATAAGATAAGATATCCTTTATCGATCTTGTTAATCAATTGTAAGGCTTTTCACGAAGCATTGCCTTTGGTATGTCTTCCAAATGTAATTTATTAACTATGATATGCGGAGCTGGCATTTGACTTAATCTTTGGTTCACTATGTCACCCTCTAGTGTTCAAATTAGGAATTTGTCCCAGGACTTTTAGCCAATTCAATCTTTTGTTCTTCATCGCTTGACGAGGTCTGTTACACTGACACCCCCTCCTTCATCGCTTGACGAGGCGTGTTACACCGACAATATATTAAAAGATTTCTGCGCCTTGTGGAGATCCACACAACAGACATTTGGAGCAAAATCAACAGTTTCTTCAACACAGGAGCTGTCCGGCACGCGTTTTTCAGCCAATCATGTACGAACAAACATATTTCGTTGACCGGTAAATGTCGGTCTCATTGGACACACTCACACCGTTCTGCAGCTGGAAGCAAGGCTCGAATTTTCATGACTTTGGAGCCTTTTTTTATACATCCAGAGATTTTCAGATACATTCAAAATTTCCAGCGTTGGTAACACTCGACTCCGTGTTGCAACAAATGTACTCATTACTTTTTTTCTTGCAGACTTGAAAATTGTGTCAGAGAACTATGCTTTGAAGCCTTTGTATTCATCTTTGAAGCTTTGATTTTAGAGGGTAGCACACTATCAAACCGATGCAGTTGGACTAATAATTTCTGAAAGGGTTTTAAAAATACAGCATGAAGTCACTAAATATGAACTAAGTACGAAAACTTAGTGCCTTATATCATGAATATTCGAGGCCAGGACCTCTTTTGACTTTTCCACCACTCAAAAATGTGCAATGTCAGACTGTACGAGTGTTTCCGAAAATAACCATGGATAAAACAAAAATAATTCATTTTAAACAGTCACCACTAGGGATAAAAATAAAAATCTACCACCAGTAAGTGATTCTGCTAATGTCACTTAGGAAGTAGTAATTTGAACTCATCTGGCTCTCCTTGTAACCTTCATTGTAATTATCAACCATAATTCTATGTGTGTTTGTCTTCTCGTGTCTTTCAGACATCAGCAAAGATGCTTGTCCTGAGTGGCTGGATGCAGAGCCCTGTCACATTAAAGAGGAACAGGAGAAAAAACAGGTGCCCCACTTCAAAGAGGAAGAAGAGCATCAGGCCCCTTACATTAAGAAAGAGGAGGAGCTAGAGCACCCTTGCACGAAAGTGGAGGTGGATGAGCCTCTCGACGTCAAAGAAGAGGAGGAGGAGAAGGGGATCTGCAAGTTGCCATCGACTGGTGTCCATCTGAAAAGTATAAATGAGGCGGACAGAGGGGCGGAGCCTCTAAGCAGCAGCTCATGTCAACACATGACAACACAAGGTATTGGAAACCACTGTGGAAAACCAAAAGCAGCTCCACTCTCAGATAGAGACAACACATCGTCAACCGCTGATGATAATGGTGAGAAACCGTTCACCTGTTCCGACTGCGGCCGGAAATTCTCTCGGAAGGGAGGCTTAAAAAGGCACGTAAGAACCCACACTGGTGAGAAGCCTTTTTTGTGCTCAGTTTGTGGCCAAAGATTTTCTTGGAAGGGAGACTTAAAAAACCACATAAGAATCCACACTGGTGAGAAACCTTTTTCGTGCTCAGTTTGTGGCCAAAGATTCTCTCACAGGGGAACCTTAAAATTACACACAAGAACCCACACTGGCGATAAACCTTTTGCCTGTTCAGATTGTGGCCGTAGATTCTCTCAAAAGGGAAACTTACAAATGCACATAAAAACCCACACTGGTGAGAAACCTTTTTCATGCTCAGTTTGTGGCCAAAGATTTTCTCATAAGGGAAACTTACAAATGCACGTAAGAACCCACACTGGTGAGAAACCTTTTTCATGCTCAGTTTGTGGCCAAAGATTTTCTCAGAAGGGAAACTTACAAACGCACAAAATAACCCACACTGGTGATAAAACTTTTGTTAGGTTGATTAGTTTTAGTTATTATACATTTTAATAGTATTAATGATAAATTGATTATGCTTGCAATGAAGAATGCTTATGCCTGCAATGATAAATTGATGATGCCTGCAATGAAGAACGCTTATGTGTTTAATAAAGATATAATGCTTTTAATTAATATATACTCACATTGCTTAGTGGTTAGTGCACTGTGTGGCAGTTGAGGGACGCATGATAAGTATTAAGACTAAACAGGAGCAAGGTTGGACGTGGACGGCGCCATCAACACCAGCTGCAACTTGATGTTTTTGTAACAATTGCACAGATGTACGTAATTTACACTCACATACACACACATAGTCAAACAAGTTCAGTGTGTCTTCAACTGCCCCCACCCTTTAGGTTGGACACACCTATGTAGTAGATTCCCAATAAATGAGGGGGTGAGGGGGGAGATCCTTGGGTGACGTGCAGAGAACTGAAACCTAACGCTTCTTCTCGTTCTCCCCTGGTATCAGAATTGAGTCTCCTGTCTCCTCCTTGTGTTTTATTTCTACATGTCAAATTGATGGACCTGACATTTTTGAGGGCTCATCCGGGTTCGCAATATACCTGATGCCTCCAGAAGATGAGTCGACGGCCAGGAAGATCGTGGCCACGGCTGAAACACCCTTTTTGGGACTGGGTTTCGGCTCCTTCTCTGGGGGCTGAGGGTTGACGCGAAGCCGGAGGAGAGAGGACTACTCTTGGTAGGTAAGGAACTCTTCAAAGGATGAATGAGTGTTTGCGCGCCGGGTCAGACGGAGTGGTCTTTAAAGCTGTTTCAAGCCCTGTGCCATACTCGTCCCTATCAGGCAGACAGACATAGTCGAGTCTTTAAAACTGTTGAGGGCGGCGGTGTCTTGTACGTACTTAAACTCCACATTTATATATAATAATACCTATGTTAAATATACTCAAATAAAACGTGCTTCAAGAGTGACTGTAATTGTGTGAGTGGAGGTTCGCTACCTCATCCGAACAGGGAATTTTGTGTGGGAACCGTCTGAGATGCAAGAACTTCCTGCCAACTTGGTGGTGGTCGACGGTTGGAAATTACCTCAGTCGAAGAGATTGTCAACCTGTTCAGGGGAGAAGTCAGCATCGTTACCTTTGGTCGGGGATCGGCAACATCCGGCTCCAGAGCCGCATGCGGCTCTTTAGCGCCATCTCGTGGCTCCCTGGATCTCTATAAAAATGTTTGAAAATGGAAAAAGATGTGGGAGGGAAAATTATTTTTTTGTTGAAAATATCCTTTCTGTTGGAGTAAAAACATGACACAAACATTCTTAACGTTTCCCAATGCTGTAAAAATGTGTAGATAAATATTTCAACGTTTCTGTCAACGAAGATTTGCGTCATAGCCTGCGACACACATTTCTATCAGCAAGGCGGGATGCAAGGCAGATGGCTGATGCAAACAACAACAAAAGAAGCTTTTAAAAAAATGCCGATTCATGTACAATTCACCGAGTGTACTGGCAAAGTGAATCTGGAGGGCCGTGAAAAGCATTTTTAAAACTACATGTGAGCTACGAGAGTCAAAAACACTGACATGCCTCTATGTCAGATCTTGACGACGGTAGTTAGGGATATGCGTCTGTGTGTTGTGTATGCGCGGGTCGATCGCGGTAAGTTAGTTGAATGAAAAGTAGATCTTCGGTCAAAAAAGGTTGGGTACCCCTGCTCTCCAGAATGCACTGCACGGGGAAAAAAAAAACATTTAATCATGAAGGCTCATCGTGTAATTGGAGCAAACTTAGTCATTTTAATAGTAGGCTAATATAGCTCAGATAGATATAGATACATGTTGCTGCTCTGGAAAAAGGAGAGCTGTGGTGTTGGTTTTTTAAAACGTACACTTTATTGATGCTTTTAACAGTCTCTACAAACACAGACACGTCTGCGTCCGACTCTGTGCCTTCTCTCCTCTCTTCGACTCGAGAGGCGTTCAAAGACAGCCTCCAAAAAACGGAAATTAATGATGACTTCACTGACACTAAGAAAAGCAAAATGGTGCACCAAAACAGAAAATCAAGCGAAGAAATCACAAAATAAATTCGATGGGGGCGTTTGTGAACACACAACAAAGGAATGAATAACAAAAAACAATTCTGAGACAGTCCAGTCTCCTGCATACATACACAGAGATGAAAGTCCTCCGGATTTTCCCGGAATTTCGTGTTTTTCAAATTTTTATGAAAATCTGTCCGGAGAATTGAGGAAAATTTGCCGAAAATTAATCCGGATATTAGTTGACAACATTGAACGAAGACGCGTTTGAGTTTGTTGTTTTGCTTTCACGAGCGTAGCCGTGTTGAAACACTAACACTAGTAACAGTAAAGAGATTTTCGTCTCTATAAACACACTTGCTAAACCCCAGTGGAACGAACAAAAGACACCGTGGACAAGACAGTTGTCGTAAAAAATATATTTGGACAAAAAGGGAAACACACAGATTGGCAGAAAAACGTGTCCGTCCGACTTCGAGTGTCGTCTTGGCTAGCTTAGCTTAGCTGTTGTTGTGTGTGACGTTGGGTGTGTGACGTTGTTGCGTCGGCGCTTATTGGTTGAAATCAAAAGACGCGCTTGCGTAATTGTTCGCGCTGATGCACGCACAGCAGAGAGCAGCGGACAAGCTAGAGACTAGAGTGGCGTCGCAACAGTAATAATATCCTCGTCTCGCATTCTCATGGCCTCGCCATATCTCTGAGATTTCAAAATTTCGGCGAGAACGGGAGCCACAAAGGGTGCATGAGCCCGATCACTTCACTTGATTTGCAGGCCCGAGCCCGAAGCAAACCCGTGATTTCATATTTTATTTGGGAGGAGGAGGGAGGTGGAGGGGTGATTGCTGATAACATAGCCTGTCTTTTGGAACGAAGTTACACAAGACTAGATAAACATTTACATCTATTATATTTCTGTTTCTGAAGCGGTTACATTAACGGACAATTTTCCATCATTGACGGATTTTTTTTAAGAGTGGACGGGGAAAATTTAAGGCCGTCCGTCATTTTGACGGGTTGAAAATTGAGCCATTCACCACAGCAGCAAAACGTCCTTAAGAATCAAGCGTGGCACTTGAAGAGAGAGAAGCATCGAGACAAAAAAGAACAATGATGGCTGGATCATCAAGATATGAAGGAGTTCTTTGAATTGTCATTGCGAGAGTTTAGTACAGTACGTGTTGTGATGACGCCACTTCTGTTTTTTTGCGAACCACGGTCTCTCGTGGCCAAAACAATTAACGGCCTCGAAAAAAAAAGTCAGCGAGAGAGAATCCCGATCCGAACCTGAACAATGATTGACATTTTTGGGCCCGACCCGACCCGAAATTTGGGTCGGGCGGCCCGATCTTAACTATAGGGTCAATGCAAATATATATATTATTTTTTTCCCCCGGGAATTTACAGAAAGCCCGCACGTGCCAGCCCCGAGCATCTTCCTTGGTCGCACAACGCCGCACCCGCTGGTTCGGCCATGTCCTTCGCCTACCACCAGACCATCCGACACGAGCCATTCTTCAGTTCGACCCAAAGGCCGCAGGCTGGAGACGACCACGAGGGAAGCCCCGCACTAGATGGCTCGACGTCGTTGCGGGCGACCTCCAACAACAAGGAGTTGCTGTGGAGGATGCAGAACAGCTGGCACAAGACCGCCGGCACTGGAAAAACCTGGTTCATCTGGTCGGCTCAACGCACAGGGACGGGACCCCCGGACCTTCGCTGGAGCACTAACTAACTAACTAACACGTGTGCATTTTTTTTTGGTCCGGAATTTATTTTCAGGAAAGTCCACTTTCATCTCTGATACAACATGTGTTTCTGTTATTGTAAGTTTTATAGAAGGCTTTTATTTTTTTGCGGCTCCAGACAGTTGTTTTTTTGTTTGTTTTTCTGTCCGATATGGCTCTTTCAACATTTTATTTTGCCGACCCCTGTACTCGACATTAATCTCGCATGGCTATATTGTATTCTCGATCCCATTTAACACTGAAAGATGCACGGGATTTAACCCTGTTACATTATTACCACTTCCTGGTGTTTGTTTGCGTGTTTGTTCGTTTGAAATATAAACAGATTGTAGTGATTTGAAAGGAAGTAGGAAGAAGTGAAACAAATTTACATACCTCGTTCTTTAAATGCTCTAATTTGTTTAATATTAATATAGTAATGGATCATTTCTTCAGTGCATCTTCGTCTGACAGGCAAAACCTTTGCCCTTATGCGTGCTATTTAAGTGTTTGTACAACTTTCGGTTTGCGCACAGACTATTTGAGCACACACGATAGCATATGTATCCATCACTTTTCTCTCCTACTCAAAATCGGTGCTCCATTACATTACGACATCTCATCAATTTATTGGCTTAAATCTGATTTATATAGTTATTTTGCATTTTACTTTAGAACCTCTTTTTGAACACAGCAAGTGTTCTGGCCAGCGTAGTGGCCAATATGATTGTCAGGAATTGGCTGAAGAAAAGAAAAATAATCATAATTTTGAAAGATAAATGCTGTTCGGTTACCACATCAAATTGGGATACCTAAGTGCACGGCGCACACAACAAGCGCTGATGACAAAAAAACAAAAGATGTGGCTTCTAAATTTTTGGGAGGGGGGAAATTACTGACTGTCAACGATGGGATAACAAACCGAATTCTATTTAATATGTGGCATCAAATTCCAATCAATGAACAAAGATAAAAGGGGACTACATTGCAAGATGGGGTTTATGTCAGCAATGACAGTGAACCCGTTTTGCCCAAAATTCTTTTTCCGTCATGGATTACCTCACGCGTTGGCAGGGGGAATAGTGTCTCTGGTTCGGGAACATTATACAACCTACTGTTTTAAAGATGTTCGTCACTCGCCAGCTATGGTTTACAGTAAAACTGACACGCAGAGGATATATCGGATTTTTTTTTTTTATTGTAGTGTTTTATTAAGTTTTTGGTCCCAAAATTTTGGGACCAAAAACGTAAATCGTTCAAGAGCTCTGGAATGATTGTGCAGCGTCCTGTTTGTGCACTGATATGCAGTCATGTCAATATATTTTTTTAATGATGGTGTGGCTGTCAAAAGGAGCACACACGATTGACTGTAAACACGTCTTTATTCCATGACTGCCAACAAGTGGATCTAAACAATTACAAATTTGTGCCAAAGACATTCATATGAACACGCCCCCTACTGTATGCCTGCTGGGTGAGAAGCATGGTCCTAGTGTACGCCACACAGCCCC